TTCCTTTAACTTATAAGCATAAATACTACTATATACTAGAAGATTAAGTTATAATTATAGCGCCTTATAATACTAGTTAAATATTTATATACTTAAATAAGCGTTTAAATTATAATATTAAAGTAAGAAAAATTAACCTTTTTATTAACATTTAGCGCTAATAATATTCGCTTAGCTATAGGGATTAAAACGAGATTATTAATATAAGGTTAGCGTTTATTTAAAGTATATTAAGTATAAAAATTAAAGATAATAATAGAAAATAAGCTTATTAAGGCGTATAAGTGTAATTATTAGCCTTATATAAACGATAACGCTTTAACTAGCCTTTAATTACCTTATAGTACTAACCTTTCCCTTTATTAATAATAGCTATTTAAATATAACCCTTATAAGGGATATTATAGAGTATATTAGGCTTAAGGGTAATAGCTTAAAAGCGCGTTAATAAATTTAATTAATATATTAATAGCTTATAAAATATAATACTCAATTGGTGCCCTCTAAAGTGTGACAAAAAGCTTACATACCTTCGGGTGGTTGCCAGACGCAAGGCTGTGATTCTTGGTGCAACTAGCGCTGTTTCTCCCTTTTTAGAGTGGACCAACTTGACCAGATCAGGTACCTGGCTAGCGCGCTCTACACTCTAATATACCAAAGCATATTAGTGTATACTTCTCGGCGGGTAACTGTATTTCACCACCTTGTCCACGACTCCACGTGGCCCCGTGGCAGGAGGAACTCATGACTCCAACTCACTACGCTTGATTGTGTGCCCCGAGATGAGACGTCAACTGGTCAGATCCTCGTGGCCGACGGGGCGAATGAAACAACTCGAGCTGACGCAGGAACATTGAACGCTCAAGGACGCTTCGGCTATTCCCTGCAAAATCCCCCCACCAAACGGCTGAGGCTTACAAGAAAAAAAGCGTCTACGGCTACTCGGCATGTCGTGTGCCTTGTCACTTGATGCTCCTCGGTCTTGTCACGCAGAGGGAAGGGAAGATGGATGACATGACTTCATTCCTGTCCGTGTAACGTCTCCTCCTAAACATTGTGCTGTTTGGCCTGTATTTCAGCTGGTAATGCCATTCCACGTGCCGGGCTGAGGGCCTGGTATGTGGGAGGGCTCTTCGTGGGTTGGTTTAATGAGTGTGGTGAAAATCATATATAACGTGCCCAAATCGACGGCTGATCGACGGCCATGTATTGCGGTGATTGTACGTCAAGTTGGTAGTTTTTCCCTCGTCTGTATATACTACATCCTTCACCGTCTTCATTTGTATATATTATCAATATGCATCATCTACGCGCACTCGCCGGTGTTGGCCTTGTTGGCCTGGCGTCCGGAGTGCCCTTCACTGACAACATATCAATCAAGCCACGACAAGCACCCGGAGCGCAAAACATCGTCTACTGGGGACAAAATGGCGGTGGTACCATCGAGAATAACGACCTCGCGGCGTACTGCCAACCCAATTCCGGAATCGACGTTTTGGTTCTTGCATTTCTCTATCAATTTGGAAATGGCGGCAACATACCTTCAGGCACTATAGGTCAGTTTTTTTTTTTCTTTTTTAAAAAAAAAAATTAAAAAATTCATTGCTCTCATGCAAGCCTAAGGCTTCTACGTCTCTATCTATTTAAAAACTACACCCATCAGTAGGCAGCAGGCTAGTCCTCTGTCCAGCTTTTCTATCCAATTTCCTTTTCCTTTGTTTTGTGCTTCCAATCTACTTTTCCCACGCAATGGATATTTCTCTAGCATACAGCGTAGCTAGAATGTCTGAGTTCTAACCTTCTATAGGTCAGTCATGCTACATCAGCACGTCTGGCCAGGGCCAGAACTGCGAAGCCTTGACCGCGGCCATACAAACTTGCCAGTCTGCCGGTGTCAAGATCATCTTGTCCCTCGGCGGTGCGACGAGCTCTTATTCCCTCCAGACGCAGGCGCAGGCCGAGCAAATTGGCCAGTACTTGTGGGATTCTTACGGCAACTCTGGCAATAAAACTGTGCAACGGCCGTTCGGTAGCAATTTTGTCAACGGATTCGACTTTGACATTGAAGTAAACGGTGGCAGCAGCCAGTACTACCAGTACATGATTGCCAAACTACGCTCCAACTTTGGTTCGGACGAGGCCAACACATACTACATAACTGGTGCGCCGCAATGTCCTATCCCCGAGCCAAACATGGGCGTCATCATCAGCAACTCCGTCTTCGACCATCTCTATGTCCAATTCTACAACAACAACAACTACACCGTCCCCTGCGCACTGGGAATCAACGGCAACGCCCCCTTCAACTACAACAACTGGACGTCCTTTATTTCCAATACGCCCTCGGCCAATGCCAAGGTCTTCATCGGCGTGCCGGCCTCGCCCCTGGCGTCGACGGGGACGCCCAGCGGCGCGCAGTACTACGCCACGCCGGACCAACTAGCTGCCATTGTTGGTGAATACAAGGGCGACGCCCATTTTGGCGGAATCATGATGTGGAGCGCTGGCTTCTCTGATGCCAATGTCAACAACGGGTGCACGTACGCACAGCAGGCCAAGAATATCCTCGTCAACGGAGCGGCTTGCGGATCGTCAGGACCTCCCATTCCTACTCCAACAACTACTCCGGCCACAACCACTCCCACGACGGCATCTTCGACTTTCTCTCCGACGGCCTCGCCTACCGGCGGCACAGTTCCCCAGTGGGGTCAGGTGAGTTTGACACCAAAGTCCCGTCTATGCTCTTGGAGGAAGAAAAAAAAAAAACTTGCGCGGTAGCTCACGCAGTAGTGACGTCTAGTGCGGCGGCGAGGGCTATTCTGGTCCCACCCAATGCGTTCCCCCTTACAAATGTGTCAAGCAAGGGGATTGGTGGTCGTCATGCCGGTGAAGTTGGTAACCAGGCGGGTCAAATCTATAAGGCAGATTCGATCGTGATGGAGTATGCTGCAAGGATCTCCCCTTTCACAGCCGTCATGTTCTGTGTATTTTACATCGCACATATAAAGAATTACAAGTACAAACTCGTCAATTGACTTTCCGATTGGACGCTCTACCCTATCTAGATGCATCTACGCTTAGGTGTACACACAAAGGAAAACTGCTTTTGCCATTGAAATTTGAGATGCTCGCCCGTCCCTTAAATCTTGCCCTTGACCAACTCGTCAATTTGAGTGGTGAGGTCCTCGAGCTCAAACTGGGTTCGGTTGCCAGCGACGGTGCCTGGAACCTTGTTGGCGGCATCCATAAAGTACTCAATGACGCCGTAGATCCTCTCCTTGATCTGGACAGTGGCCACGGCAAAGCCCTGCTTGCTGATGTACTTGCTGGGGATGAGCTTGACAAACTCGGCCGACTTCCAACCGTCCTTGGACACAAACACATTGGTTCCCTTGCCGCTGAGCTGAGTCAGGAGAACCTTGCCGCCATACTTCTCGGGCAGGTAGACGCCGTCGTCACCGGTCTCTCCGGTCAAGCCGCTGACGGGAATCTCGACGCGCTTTCCCTCACCATCGCGCTTTTTGAAGCTGACCAGCTTGTTGGCCTGCGCGTCATTGACGATGAAGAGGTCGCCGCTGGCCACAATGCCGGTGAGACCGGCCTTGATGGGCTTCTCACCAGGCCTGGTGTAGTTGCTCTGGTACCAGAGTTTGGCCTCTTGGCCGTTGGAGTTGACCTTGACGATGGCACCGGGATACGTGCAGACAACAAAGGTGTTGCCGCAGTTGTCGTGCGCCATATCCTGGCAACCCGAGTAGGCTCCCTTTGTCACATCGTTGAGGTTGATTTTCCACAGTGTCTCTGGCTTGCCGCTCAGGGCGACCTTGTAGAGGAAGTTGTCGCCGGTAACATTCTCGCCCTGGGTATCAAAGGCGATGCCAGCGTTGATGGCAACTGACAACTGATTCTGCTTGGGGTCAACCTCGACGCCGCTTGCGTGGAACTCGGGCTGCAATGTGCGATCAAAGGTGATGATGTCTTCGATGCGGTTCTGGTCTGCGTTGTAAACGGCAACAGAGGCGTTATACAGTACGCTAGATGAATGAATTCTGTTAGTCCCACTCACGTTCCCAGCAAGCAACATGGGCAATTTTTGTGCTCTAGTAGACATACCTCATGTAGGTCTTGCCATTGGCCTTGTTGAAATCGGCACTCTCAGGGTAGAGCTGGAAAGAGTCGATGATGACATCGCCGTTGGCGGCGGTGTTGGCGTTGTTGGCGCAGTCGGTAGCTGGCAAAGCATTGGCGACGGCACCCAGCGCTGTCAACGAAGGAAGGAGTCCGGCGCGCATTGTGAATGTATGGTAATGAATGAGGAGTTTGGGCTAAAGAAAGTAATGAGTGGAATGATGGTGCTGAAGTGTTTTTCAGAGTCGGTGTCGTGATGGTGATGTATTAAGCCCCTGGGTTAGGAGGAGACATTCTCAACAATATATATCCATTCTATAGTCCATAATACAGCATTCATCTTCACAAGGCAGCCTTCCTTGAGTCGCCAACCTGGCTGTGTAAGCCGAGTGGGAGCCAAGAACCGCCAGGCCAGTCGAACTAGTTATGATCCGCGCCCAAAGCGAGTGGCTTGAGTCAGCACGGTACTTGAAGATTGCTGTGCCACAACCCGAATCAAGCAAATGGCAGCTCTGTGGGGTCCATGCTGCGTGATGAAACCTTGTTCAATCGAGGCAGTTACAAAAAGGTGGGATGAACAAATGCGGCTACTATCAATCTTCAGCCCCTGTTGCCAAGCAGCCCGGGTGCTCGCCCTTTGCTCATGGACCATGGGTGCTCCATGGTCTACGCGTAATGCGTAGCCTCTCTACTATGGAGAATCTTACGATTATGCCGCTCGCATAAAGTGCCTCATTGCGCCGAAATGAAGTACGCTGCACAGATGCCATGGCTATACGCACCTTTATGACCAGTAGCTTCGCCCAAGGTCAAGAAGGAGAGTGACGTTACAAGGGTAACACGTTGCCATCGTGCATAATACCCAGGATTTAAATACAAGACGTGTGGGATTCACTTACAAGAGATGTCTTTTCCTCTTTTCAACCATACATTCATCAACGCGAACATGCTGATCAATATACCAGATACAAGCATGCTTATACGATTCATCAAGAACACTCAACATTAACCTCTCGTCCTTTTTCGAGTCAGGTGCCAAAGTCTCAGAATTTGCCCCCAAGTGGGCGCGCGAGTTTCAATATGCGGCCCGGTTGTGTCGGTCGCGCCCGTTGACTAATGATGAACATGTAGTCCCGGTGGGATCAGGCGGGTACTTTCTCTTTCTGTCGTTCTTTCTTCCGTATTTTTGCAGGGAATAACATAACCATAATTCTTAACCCCCAACTCAATCACAACCCCGGAGGTTGACGCGTCGCACAATGCATCTCAATATGGAGTCCGGAGTAGAGTCTGGCAGATTGTCTGCCTACCAAGAAGTATTACACTAAGATACTGTGGCATTTTATACTATGGAGCGCGATAGCTAGGTACCTGACCTGGTCGACTACTTTTTGCCTCCCAATGTATGTCATCGCGTTCTGCTAGCATGCTCTTCGCGATCGACGAAAAAAGTTCCAAATTTGCGAACCCCTACATCGTCTTGGTGTTGACTATGCTGCCAGCTGCTCCTTAGGGTTGTATCGAGTCAAGTTGCAACAAATTAGACGACGGACAAGAACCACATGGAGGTTTGGAGGACTCCGCTTTGACTCCATAATCTTATCGACTCGCCACGGCGCTTGAGATTAGGGAAGGATGACTCGGGCCTCCCGGACAGGATCAAAGAAAATTGCGCTGCTCAAACACAGGTCTTTGGCATCCCGGGGCTCCATCGTCGACTCCGTGGTTGATCTACCACCTTGAACGCTGTACGGAGCACTCCGCACCCAGACTGGAATAAGCAGGGCTGGCCTTCTCCCAGCATAATTGTGACGCCGCGGCTAGTAGCACTCAACTACCAGGAACACCCAGTCACTGTTTGAGTGAAGGCGAGGCAGTCCCTGCTTCGGCCATCGACGGATCTACCGAGCCTATTAAACCCAGCTGTAACGTCAGCGCGTTCCGATAAAGTCAACTGCCGTTTGCGGACAAAAGCCTTGTCTACCCTATGTATGAACCCTATGCTACACAAACATTGTCTTTTGTCATCACGAGGACTGAAATTATGCCGACTAGTTATCCCACAAGCAACGCCGTTGCTTTTCACCGGCAACAGCTTCCTGTTTCTATCATGATCGCCACATTGACTAATGGCTTCCCACATATTCCGAGGCACAAATTAGCCTTGTACAAGCACGCTTTGTAAACTAGACGCCACATTATAACTACCACCACAAACACCATTCATCCTCCAATGCTGCCTCTATGCCATTCCCCAAGGTGTATTGGGTGACGTCAGATTCATGGAGAGTACAGTTTGGTACCTTCCCCGCAAGGTGACGCATCATGACGATTGGCGCATTCTTCATATGGGATATGTGACGTCTTCAAGCTGCAACCCCCAGTCGGGATCTGATAAGATCTTGGCTTCTTCAACTGCCGCTGTGGCTCCCTGCGCGAACGGCTCAGCCAACAGTGTGCGCACGAGCTCATCAACCCGACTAGTCAATTTAGCATTGTCATGGTTGTGGATCGAACTGTGAGCCATTGATGGCTCTTCCTTCGACCCTGCGACTGGGTTTCCGCGACTCTTTCAAGGCCTCGAGCTTCTTTTCAAGCACCCGCTTAACCCATCTCCTTTGCAAAACCCACCGCACGCTGGCAACCGTTGCATTCAACACCATCTCAAGCCCGCTAGGCCAGTATACGGCCATGAGGCTCGCAAGACGCCGGAACCACGTCATATCATTGCGCCCAGCTTCCCAGTTTGGACCGTTTGCGAAAAGTCCCACGCTGGAGAGCATCGTGCTGGGTAGAGCATATGCCGTGGCAAGTGCGTATGGTCCGCCGCCAGAGAGTCCCATGACGGCGAATCTTTCGATGCCTATTCTCTTCGAGAACTGCTCCACCTCTCGCGCCCAATCAAGCAGCCTCCGACTTGGTTGAGGTGACGACCACCCGAAACCCGGCCTATCGATGGCGATGAGTCGAATGCCTTGACGCTGTGCCAGGATCTCTATTTGTTTTGGCTCCAGACGGGACGACGGGTACCCATGGATATACAGAAGTGATTTCCTCCAGGTGTTCCGAATTCTGCGAAACCTAGGGTGCGGCCATCTGGAAGCTTGAATATCTGGTTCTCGCGAGCATTGGATTTGCTTGCCAGTGTACACAGCCGAGAGCGCGTCATGACTTGGACGGGCTTATATCCGGCAAACATTCTGTGAGCCATTCTCGCTGTCCGTGGCATGTGACAAGAGCAAAGAAAAAAAAGGCCTTCATGTTTCATCCATGAGCCAAGACAATGTACTATTTAAATGTTACTTTTTCTGGTGCAACAAGGCTGGATGTGACCTCGTCCTGCGGAGTTGTGTTCAAATCGTGTAATACATCGCGCCATGTGACTATCGCTCAAATACTTCATCTTCAATATGAAACTTACACCCACAGCTGCATTTCTCGCTAGTCCGACCATCTCCCTGGGCCCACACAAGCTGACGGCGACGTCACAACCAGCATGCTGCTCCTTGAGTCCCTGAAAAACACTACGAAGGTCTGGCCGGCCTGGTGAGATAGTCCACCACGCCGGCATAGGTTCAGTCTTTTCCGCACTGCCCACTTCCTCTTGTTGGCTCATGGCTAGTGTGCTACCGGTTTCTGTGTGATACAGCGAGGTCGACAGTCTGGCTGTTGACTCTGGCATTGATGTTACGTCATGGAGGGTTTGAAGTTCGTCCTTGAACCAGGCTGAGTGCTGCTTTTGACCACCCAGACAAGGTGAATGTTAACAATGCCTGCCGGAACAGCGAACCTGCGTCTGTTCAAAGAATGCCTTGCGGAAACGATCGATGGAATGATGCCAACAGCAGGGGTGATGCCGATCCCACCCGCTACCAACACGACAACACCAAAAGAATTTGATGCCAGTGCAAACGACCAACCCCAAATGGATCGTTTAGCTGAAGCTTGACTCCGCGGTTCGCCGACTGATGCGCCTCACCCACAGATGGCTTGCGCTCGCTGCATCTGTCCGTGTCGACGTATTGGACCGCATTGGTGTATGTTCCCAGGCCTCTAATTGCAAGTGTAGCTGTATTATTGAAGTCCCCGAGTGGACTCACCGCTGTGAACGGATGCGAGTTCCAAAATGATACCCCAGGAAGCTGAACCCAAACCATTTGACCTGGGCGAGTGATGGTTATTCCCTTGACAGTAAACTTGGTTACTTGGCCCCCAAAGTGCGCGATATCTGTTACCTCAATGGATCGGAAGCTGTGGTACAAGCCAAGGATGCGGTCAATGACCCAGAGCGAGAAACCAGGCAGCAGAAACTCCGGTCCGTTTATCGTATGTATCAACGCGCCGACCATGAACACAAAGAAGAGAAAATGCGCATAATAAAATATTTCGAAACCCTTGCGACGGACTATTGGCAAGTCCGTTAGGAGAATGATTGCAAGGCACAGTCATGCCATTATGTCAATCCGAATTCGTGTGTTGACGAAGCTGCTCGCAATCTGATCGGTCTGGGCGTAATGCATTATGTTGAAGGCGAAATGCGCCGTTCCATGGGCTACTGTCGCCATCCCGATCCAGCGATGGTACTGTAGCAGAACACTACGAGGGATCCTCAATAAGAGAGAAAGTAAATTCTCCCGTGGAGCTAGGGTCAGCGCAAGACCGTCGTTTGCGATTGTCAGCCAGCCGTGTAACTTGTAGTCGGTCATGAATTCGTTGTCATTTATGCCAAATGCAATGTTGAGCCCGAGAAAGACCAAGAATCTAACAAGGTCCGCGACATGATGGTCAAAGACGAATGGGATAGTTGTGTGGTAATTGAGAAGTTTGTGGCAAAATACGGTCAGCCTCCAGTGCGTTCCATCACGACGAGCGTTGCGACCTTAAGGGGTATGAGCGAATTCTATCACCAACGCGGGTTAGGAATGTTCTTACTAACTCGAAGTGTATCTTGTGTGTAGATTTTGTGACAGCCGAAAAACACTTTCGACTGGGAAAACACCAAATACAGACGCAAAGTGCACCCGGGCAGCGGTGTATTGAAAATCGATAACTGCTTTCGCCATGTTTAAGACCCAACTGCTTGGTAATAGGGATGCATAGATTGGTTACGGACCTGATATTATTCACCGGGGGATATTTTCGGGTTTATTCAAACTCTCGAATGATATATATAGCACAGATACTCGTTATTGAACTGGCTGGTCAGCTACTTCTCCGTCAAGATCGAACACATTGGTCGCGCGTTTAGCCTGGTCGCCTCACTTTTCATCATGTTTCCACATCAATCAGCCAAACGAATTACCGTAATTTTAATTGGAACCACACCGTCATGATTCCAAAGGCCTTCTGCAGGAGTGTGTCGGCGTAGCACCTTATCACTAAGTGTGGTCTGATTGGCCTGATTGGCCTGATAACCTTGCAAACGGCCAAGTGTATTTTCCATCTCTTCAAAGGAAGAGAATAGACACAAGTAAGCCAAACGATAGGTCTTTCTTTGCCCTTGTGACCCCGGCCTCCTTAGCGTGCGGCCACCTCTCGTGCACGGGGCCTTATTTTTTCCTCTTTGAGACCAGACAACCAAGGTGCAGGTGACCAATAAAAGAGGCGGGACTTCTGGTTCCAAATTATGCATGGTCAAGGCACACACGAGTTCAGGTCACCGCATCCTAGCCCGTTAATCCCTGAAATAGTGATGATTGTTGCTTCGTAGACACTGTTATGCAATGTGTGGAATCAAGAACACTGTTAGGGTCGGCACTATGAACTCGGTAACAATTTTGGTCTTGATAGCCTCGATTCTTATATATACAGCAGACGTTAGTCGCCGCAATTCCGAGACTACTCAGATATATATTTGACGATTCAATCATCTCTGTATCCTATTTCTCCTTGTTGAAACAGTCAGGACTCAGGATTATTTGGTAAGTGGAGTCAATTTGACATCACCGCCTTCGATGCGGACCATCAACCTACATTTCAGTACCACCAACCCTGGTCAAAATTGTATACTAATATCCAAATGTACAGTACGGCAAACCCTTGTCTCATAATGTGTTACCCTGCAGTTATTCTTAGTCTTGTTGCTGCCACTGCTATGGCAGCAGAGGTTGGCTGATCCGGCAAATTGTCGTCGTTGGATGGCGGACGCGGCGGCACGGTCAAAGTCTTGAACCACAGTGCGCTCGACACCTCGGGATATACACTTAAAGATGCCTCTGCGCCAGCACTGTACTGGTGGGGTTCGACGACTGACAAGCTCTCGGTTGGCTTCCGAATCAACAACGAAAGAGTCGACAAAGCGGCGACAACCAGCAACATTGTCATAGCCCTTGACGCGGGAAAGAAACCTTCCGAATTTTCAACTATTAGTCTATGGTGTGAAGAGTTTAATGCCAACTTTAGTCAGGCGGCATTGACAAAAGACGGAACTGGATCCGACTCTGGGGCCACGCTTAGTGCCATGCCCAAAGCCGGAGCAGCTGTTTGCTCAGGAAATGCTCAGCCGATTGCTATTTTCGCTTTGGTTGCCGATATTGCCTTCGTTTCTCAACTCATCTAAAAGGGAAAGAGAAAAGTCCTTGTAGATGCAGGTAAATACGAAGAATTGGGAGCAATAAAACTCCATTGCAAAACACCTTATAGTATCGCAGACTCCTTTTTATGTGACTTTTGCACCCGGAAGAACTCCATACCATGAAATACTCCGCTCCATAAGTCAACGGTTAGCTCTTGCAGCACTACAGGTCTGCGATGTCAACTACTGGTAGTTACTTCTCGCCCTAGCTATGCCCCGATAGCAGTTTAACTCGTTGATTGTACGCAATATGGCCGAACGCATGATCTTGAGTATATAATTGAATACGTACGTTTCAATGGTGTGCACATTTTCTCTTTCAATCCGCAATTCAAACAACTATTGTCTGCTTATTGCGGCCTACAGCGGAATATATTTGCCTATTAAGAAGTATACACCAAGATACCATAGCAAGCCTTCCCTCGAAGCTCCAATTCAATTTTTGGATCATGAAGACCCGAAGAACTGCAATCTGGAATTTCTGCCAAGTCACCTTTATTACATGGCGCACTGTTATATTCACGGAGGTCACGCCGACTTGTCAACCAATCCGCAACTCGCGAGGTCGTCTCCGATCCCAGTCCCCACGAAAGCTCGCCTTGCGGGCTTTCCAGCTGTATTAGGCCCTTAAACCTAGTTTGGATGTGCGCTGGCTTGAATAAGGATCGCATGCTGTGCTATCTTTAGCATGCGTTCGGTGATCGTACCACCTCGGTGCTGTTGGATGTTTATTGTTGCTCAGCGGAATCAAAACGCGACGTAAGATTAAGACATAGTCGGAATTGGTTGCGGATTGATAGACTACAATACCCTCGCCTAAACGGTCGGTTCCATTGCCGGACCTGGTTCAAGGTCTGAACGCCACTGAAGACGTGGCGTTCGGAATGCAACTACATGGCATCCTACCTCAGTTATCTAGATGTAGACACCAAGACCATTCTTGATTCCAATATGTTTTCAGGGCTGTTCATCATTGCATGTGAAACGTCCAGCAACCTCACGACACAGAAGTTGCATCACTCTTCCCCCCTTCGTCTTGCCAGTTTGGAAAGTCGTGCGGAGTAGCCCTAGTTCGACTAACCTTGGTTTGCGGCTGATAGTAAAGATCCACTCGAGCAACAGGAGGCCCCAGTTGGGGTACGGACGGTACTTTCAGACATTAGTGATATGGCTCCTTTTTGTTGGTAGCGGTACCTCGTCGGTATGACCAAGTCGAGTCCCTAGCCGACCCCGATCATAGGCCTGGAACTGGGAACTGGACGATCTTTGACTCGATTAGCCTACCTCTGCGAGACTAATTCACCTGATGTCTGGTGTCCTGTGCGTTATGGCCTGAATGTTGCAACGCAAAGATTTCTCGAACTGGCTCCAAAGTCGGAATTTTTTACCCTCAGAGTGGCTTGTATAATAATTCATTAGATCCAACATGTACTTAGGATAGGAAAGGGAGCCCGGAGAATAAACAAACTGTGGTCTTATTTGTTTTTTCGAAAAGAGGGCTTCGCAAGATGTTGAAGAAAACTCTGCAAAACCTGCCAGCAACCTAGGTGGGCATTGTATATCAAACTCTCCTGTCAGATTTCTGGCTAAGATGGGTAGGTCGGATTTACTGAAAGCCAGTTCCCAGGATACAGAAGAGGGGACCGAGTCGAATTATTTCGTCCTCTCTCGCGCTCAACTTCAACCTGTGCCTGAGTCGAGTCTGCAGTTGTAAAAAACCAAACTTTTGTCTATTTACAGCCGCAGTCGGCTCGGCTCATGGTTGAGATGTCGAATCACGACGACAAACCACCAAGCCATAGTCCTGGATTTGTCTCAGCAGTTAGCCCCAATAGGCTGGACCCATGTTACGATCATGATGCCAACGCTCCAAAAGTTGTTGAGCTAATGTCGCCTTCAGACGCCAGCCAGCTCAGTACAAGGCTTTCACTACGGCCAACAATGCTTTCAAATTCACACAAGGGCTCATTCCACAGAACAGAGTACCAACAACAAAGACAGTGGTAGGAATGCGACGGATAAGGTGGTAGTGCCCCCAGAGCATGGAAAATATCAAAATCTAGGGAGCGCAATAATGCGGCCGGGGGGCACGCCGAGCATCTCGTCGCATCAATCATCTGTCACACTTTAGAGGGCACCAATTGTAACGATAATATATATATACAAGTCCATGTCTAGCTATAAAAGAGAGAATTATATGCGCTCTTTTTATAAGTGCGCTTATTATTAAGGTTATTTACTTATAATTAAGGGTTTACTCTTATTTAATTATACGTATGTAATTTATACTTATAATAAGTAACTTATTTTAATATACCCTTTAATTAAGCCTATTATTAAAGCTATTATAAGTATTATTTTTCTTATTTAAATACTTACTTAAGT